AGCTTTATTTAACAATTTTATTCTATTAGGTGATTCTAGATTATCACCTTCAGCTTTTTTTCATGGTGCAAAAAGCTGACAAAATCAACAACAAAAACCTCCTGAGCTTGTCGAGCTCCTTCTTGACTATCCAAGCTTGCCGAGCTCATCCTCAACTGCCTTGAGGAGGATCTCAACAAACTCGAGCAAATTAGGAGAAGCTCGGCAAGCTTGGGTAGTGATGGAGGAGCTTGGCAAAAGTGTTCTGCAAGCTCGGCCAAAGAAAGATATTCGCAATACCTTTAATTTGTGCACCCTCTTATTTAATTTCAATACCTCTTTATGTTTTCGATGAAAAGAAGAACCCTTATTGTTAATAAGTTGCCCCTTATATGGAAGAATGAAAAATAGAGTGGTAGTAGATGAAGGGTTGATTCCTGATGGATGAAGTTGACATGGTAAGTGAGCAGCAGAACATTATCAATTACTTGAGTAGTTGTTTATATGCTCCTACCTACGAATGATAGGAGCAGGACCAGGTATTTGCTTGTTTATCAATCTTAAATATTTAAGATTATGGAGGTGTAGATTTGACTCAATTACTCGGAGGAAAAAAATTTAAATTCTTTTTTTAGTAAATCTAACCCATGTTCAAAGGATAAGGAAATAACTATATGTGATGACTTTTCACCTAATGATATTGATAGTATTCTAAATCTGAAAATAGAGAATATGTCATTGTATATTTATATGTGAGTGATGTAACATCCCAAAATACAGTAATTACTATAATTTAGAATTAATTACAATTAACAGTAAATCAACACAGTCTTTATATAATTAACAGAATTCAAAAGCCTGAACGGCTTCATTGCAAACATAACATTGGCATAAAGCGTGATACATAAATCGAGAACGAAGTCGGTTTAAGTCAGCATATTACACGAAGGATTAGACAAAAAAAACGTGTTTTCCCAAATAAATAACTGAACGTTCATTCCAAACCGGAATGACTACACTTACAACGAAAGACGGCTTTCTGTGTTTTGTTATCTTTTTTTTTTTTTCTTATTATTTCCTTTGATATTATCGATTTTTTTTTTTATTTATTATTTTATTGATTTTTATTTTATTGTCCCTACTGCTCCGCTTTCACTTCAACTTCACAAGTTTTCTTCTCTCGATCTAATCCTCTAGGGTGGCCTCGCCTTCTGCTCACTCTCACACGGATTATCTATTGCAAGACAGGACTAACGTACATGAGACAGTATGACAATCACAAGGAAAACCGAAGGGTACAGCTTATATAATTTAATTCATACAATCAACACATACATTTACATTTACAATTAACTCATACTAGCAATAACTTAACATAGCATAACCCATGAAATATAATAATATATATATGTACAAACAAACCGTCCTGTACTGTATGAAACCAGTGTATTACAGGCGTCCCTTTAGCTCGAGTGATGTAGTAACTGGGTAGACACAAACAGCTGGCCACTCGAGGTTAGTCCGTTTCTTACGTCGCCGGCATGTTAACTTTTGGACTAAGGGACCTGCCTGCGGCATTCACTCATGAGCTTACCGCTCTCTACTGTGAGAGAGTAATCGTCCTTAAATATCAGGATGGACAGCGATTCCCTAACTTTCCACAGTTCATACTTTACCAAATTTAATATTTACATATCTGAGACGTTGCCTCCACTGGAAGCGCTCGTTCAAATTACATAATCTATAATCAATTTTTTATATAGTGTCACCAGCATGCTTAAATACTTCGTCTAAAAACAATTTTCATTCTAATTCACTTTCATAAAAGGACGAACGTTCACCTTCTGAATGAAGGATGACGAACGTTAAAAGCGCAGATTTATAGAACCTATTAACCATCAGAAAGACTCCAGAATAATACACGGCATTTTCAGAAAGATTTTTAAGTACCAAGAGGACGGGTTGACTCACTGGACGAAGATATAACATCAAAGAATACTTTAAGCTACTTGGGAACCTTTGTTTAAAAGGGGTCGCCTTCAGGTAGTGACCGAACGCGCCTAATAATACATTTACCTAAGTATTTGACTAACGCTTATTTACGTTCGTTAAGGAATGCAAGATAAGACGAGCGTTCAATACTAAGACCGAACACTTCATTAAAACGATGCTAGGTATGGTGACCGAGATCAATTCATGACGAAGCTTGGTACAGACCGAGCGCTATTAGAACTTAAGCGGCTTGGTATAATACCTTGCGCTATTTAGGTACGAAGCGTTCGGTATATCCGAAACGTTACTTAATATTAGTATTATTAATTACGGGCTTCGACAATGCGTTTCGAGCCGACACTCAACATAGTATTTCAAATGAGGACGCTCGTTCTCAAACCGAATTCTTCCTTCGAATGAAAGAATTCTACGTCTAATTCTTTTTCAGGGAAGACCGAACGGTAAAGACGTACGACAGGCGGAATTTGATCATAGGGAGTGATTTACGGTTTCAGATTTTCAACGCATTAACAGATTCTCAGATTTCAAACATTTCAACTTATACTTTATGCTTCATATAGATTTTCAATTTATAAACTTTATACCATTCATTCCTAATGAATTCAATGCACATCATCATACCAATTTACACCTTCATACAACATAAATATCCAGTTCATAATCACACCTCTAATCATCATACATCATGCATTCGCATTCATCCCGCATACATAGCATTTCAGTCCCCATCAACGATTCAATAGCGTTTCAGGACATACAACCGCGTATGAATTAAAACCAATAAGCTTCGCAGTCTTACCATGGCCTAGGGGGCAGTGTACGTGCCCAAAGCTAAGGGTTTAACAGTTGTTCACTAATGTATTTCTATCCTCTGACTATTCCACACAAATGCTATCTAGAGGAAACAGAACTACTAAACTACCTTACTCGCATGCACCCAAGCAACTCGCCGGTTTCCTGAAAACCTAAGGACAGAGCTCATGCAAGCGGAACTACCATGTTTCAGTTCTTGAAACATGTTTGGGCAGCATGTGTAGCTCTCAGTTCATGGGCGAACGCTCTCTACGGTGCTGAAACGTGATCGAGAAAACGTGGAGTATTAGCAGTAGAGAGAAAGTTGGGGAGGTTCTAGAGAGAAGGTGGGAGAGATGGGGTTTGAGTTCGTGAGAGAGGTGAATGCAGAGTAGTGAGAAGAATGTTTTTCAGAAAAATCATTTTTCTTCCCAACGTTCACGGACGTGCACTCCCCACGAAAAACCCCCTCATGGTCTGACACTTGTTTTCTCACTGGGGCAGATTCAGATGTTGAGTGGCTTTTATAAGACTGATGGGTGTGGCAGCGTGCATTTATGGAAGCAGTCAGGTGACTCAGCAATGCATTAATAACAGATTAGACATGATAATTATGGTTTAATTTTCCGAGGTCTCACAAGTGACATGCCAATTCTTGTAATTAGAAGAAAATATTTCTAAGTAGAGAAAATATTTGTGGAATCTTCCTAATAAGAGAAAATATTTGTGGAATCTTCCTAATAAGAGAAAATATCTGTAGAATCTTCTAATTTATTTTTCAATATATTGTTTTCTTATTTTCCTTTTTGGAAGAATAGATTGTTATAAATAAGGGTAAGGAGAATGTAATAGACATGAATGATAATAATAAAATTCATTATTCTCAAGTCTAATGATTGATATATCCAACGAGATAGTCTCTAGAACTAAGGTTTCTAGAATCTTATTTTGAAATATAAGTTGTTTATAGATGAATTCAATGTGATTTTAGAAGTTAGAATTATAAGGAACAAAGATAGTATATTACTATTCCAAAACAATAAATGAGAAACTTCTTAGGAAGTCTAGAAATTATGACTTCAAATGCGTGAATATCCCTTATGATACTAATTCTAAATTAATGTAAAATATAGTATAATCTATTTCTCAACCTCAGTATACTCAGATAATCGGGAGCTTACTTCATTTGATGAGCTTTTATGGATTTGATATTACTTATGCAGTAGGTAAACTGAGAAGATACACTTAATATTCTAATTAGAAATATTGAGATGCTCTTGCAAAACTTATGAGATACTTAATAGGTTCAATGGATTATGCCATTAAATATAGTAGATTTTCCCTTGTATTAGAAATGTATAGTGATGCTAACTGGATCTCTGATTCAGTCAAGACAAAATCCACTAGTGGTTATGTCTTCACACTTAGGGATGGTGCGATTACATAAAAATCAGTCAAACAAACAATTACTTCAAGATCAATAATGGAATATGAGTTTATTGCTCTCGAAATGGCTAATAGTGAGGTTCAGTGGTTGAAAAACTTCTTAGCAAACATTCAACTAGGAATGAAACCAACCCCATCAATGCCAATACATTATGATTGCCAATCAGTAATAACTATAGCTAAAAACAAGAATTACAATGGAAAGATCAATTTCCATTGATTATGTGAAGTCAGAACAGAGTTTAGCAGATCCTCTAACAAAACCCCTAAGAAGAAATATGATTTTAGAAACATCGAGTAAAATGTGACTTAAGCCACTTGCAAACAAACAAGTGATAGTAACCCAACCTTTGTGATTGTAGATCCCATGAATAAGATTCATATGGTAAAAATAAGCAATTTGTTAGTTCTAATAGCACTAAATTGATTTTAATCAATTATATTCATTCCTATGGTGTGTGTGTGTGTGAAAGTATTGGAGACTGTATTATTGAGGTTAAACTTTGTAATTAAAATTCTATGTGGTGTAAGAATTTTAGTTTAAACAAATTTTTTAATGATTTTCATATTTTACCGATGATGTATGATGTGCAACATATACTCAATGAAATCACCTATATAAGTGTTAAGTGGAATCGCTTGCATGAGATTTTGGCATGATCTTTAAAGCACTTATGAATACCGGGCACGCACATGGCTTAGCTTGTGCAACACAAAACACATAAGTCCTTAAAATATTTGTAAAAAGCTAACAAAATCACAAACAAAAACTTACTATGTTGGTTGAGCTTGTGTTGGCTGAGCTTGTGCTGGCTGAGCTCATTAGCTGAGGTCGTGTTGGCTGAGCTTATGTTGGCTAAGCTTGTTTGTTGGCCGAGCTTGGTTGTTGGTCGAGATCGTTGCAACAAGGCTGTTGGTCGAGATCGTTGCAACAAAGTTGTTGGACAATCTCTCCTCTACAAGACTCGGATAGCTGCATCTGCATGTCATGGTTTTTTAACCTCTCTTGAAACCCTCATGCATTTAGCATCTATAAATAAGGGTGTTGTGCTTCCTCCAAAACCACATAACACACTTTCTCAAGCTCTCCCTCTCATTTCTCTTTGTTCTTTCTTTTTTTATTGTTTTGTATCATGGGTTTATATTTACTCTTGTAAAGAGTTTCTTTTGCTATTTCTGATATCTTTAAAATTTTCAAGTTTCAGTTGTACCTTGAGATATTTGCACATACATTATGAATAAATCTTTAAGGATAGTGATTATTCACACATTAGGAAATCCATTTAAATTGTGTTCTTATCAAATTCTCCAACAAATTATACCCAAAACTTTCGAGACATATAATGGTTTCAAATTTACAGGGTTGAAGAATGCTAGCAACGCACTCCTTCTGACATACTTTTTACTATTGGTTAAAAATTTATTAATAACCACAAAATAATGTGTAAGAAGTGAGTCCCCTAGAATTTTGTGGTCTAATAAATTTCACCAAACATTTAAGAGCCTACACAAATGAGTACTTACTAGCATTTCTCACTTAATAATTCCAAATTATTCTCAGGTAACGAAGAACTAACGAACTTGCTTAAAGTTCCATCAATCAGTGTGCAGAACAATGTAGTAAATACTCAATACCATTTTTGACTGAAACTGTAGCATCTTGGCAAGAAGACTCCGGATACTTACGAAAAATTCAAATACTTGCCCTCCACACTAAAAGCAAAAACGAAAGAAGAACAGATTCTCTCTGAGACACACAGGGCAATAATGATTAAGGTTAACCCAATACTCCTCGGAGTTGAAAGACCACCATTAACAGTATGTGATAGCCAAAAAAGATTGAAATGTCTTACCTGATCATCAAAGAGACCAACTCGAACGTTCCACCCTTAGATTGTTCCTCAAAGTCCCAACACAAGATTTATGCCTAGGAAGAGAGTCAGATACAAAGAAGAAATAAAAAATAAAAATGAAGCACCCATTAATCAGAACAAAATGTTTAACGGGAAATCAATCATCAAATCCCAGAAACAGATAAACAGAGCTCCAAGTAAGTTCCTTCCTTAACACATATCAAAGAGGTATAATAATCACTTAGAGTTAAATAATTCAATCCGATACAAAAATGTTACTAATCATTTCTGTGACACGACAAGCGGCATACCTTTGAGTGAGGATCTTGGTTAGTTTGACTGATGAGAAAATGTGTGTACGGAAAGAAATTGAGGGAAAATTTTTAAGGTGTTAAGCATAATGGATCGGGACGGGCACTAGTTTTGATGATCAGCAACCTAACAACCACTTGGTCTCTGTCTCTCACTCTTTGGTTAAGGTTGTCTTTCCCGAAGCACTACGCGCGTGAGTGGGAGTGACTTCGCGCTATTGTTGAAAATATTGCTGCTAAGTGACGTCGTTTTAAATTGGTTCCTATACACGCGATTGAAGCGCGTGTATTGAGGGTTAAGAACAGAAGTAGTGGCAGCGTTTGTATTGGGTTTAATGTTTGGATGAGTTTTCCCTTTTATCAAACAAAGAAGACGACAATTGGTACTGATCAACATTGTTGGGTGTCCTTACTATGAATTTAAGTTCAGCAGCAAGAATCTTACAGTGTGTCTGTTGTTCAGTATCATCCAATCTATTTAAAATATGATGCAAATATGGAAGCTGAACAGAGAAAATAGAAATACTAAAAATGGAGGACTATAATCATCTAAATTAATAAATGAAAAAAATTTATTATATATATATATAGAGAGAGAGAGAGAGAGAGAGAGAGAGAGACTTACGACCAATTTGAAGTCCTTGAACAAATAATCTATCATTAGATAAACTTAAAACTTAAACTAATTACCTAAAACAAATCATATAAGATAAAGAACAAGGTATAAATGTTTGATGAATATTGAAAAATACAACAAATTTTGATGAAAGAAGAAGACGGATATAAAGAAAGAGAAATAAATTAATGAAAAAGAGTTGAGAGAGAAATAATTAAAGAAAATGAGAAATTTGAGAGGAGTTGTGAGAGAATGAAAGAAAACGAGTTGAAAAAGAAATTAAAGAAAAGTAGTTAAAAGAGAAAGAAATTGAAGAGATGATATGGTCTTTATCAGTCTACCTCTCAAGCAAATTCATCAACTTTCTAAAGTTAAGGAAGGAAGACAGGTATAGACAAAAGTAAAATTGGTATAATTTAAAGCATCTACCAAAGCATTTCAAAAGTAACATACGTAATTTGCATCATAATATATTTCATGCAAACAATAATATGTATAACATCGACTTTAAGTTATAGAAAGAAGACGGGTATAAACAAGAATAAATTTGGTGTTTATAGGTTAGGCTACAGAAACAAAAAGTATTGTGTTACTTTAAGAGAATGTCATAGAATAATTATAGTACAAATCATAAGTGACGTATGCCATTTATTCCATGAAAAGCTTTCAAAATCAAAAATTAGATTTGATAAAATTTACTTATAAAGTTTATGGGAAGAAGACATATTTAGACTTTATATGTTATAAAGTTACATTACTTTGAAGAAAACAACACAATCTGAATATAAAGTTCATATAATCTAATTAAACAACTATATAATATTTAAATGGTGACATATGTGATCCGCTCAATCATATATTTTCTAACAAAAGGTATGTTCACTAGTGCAGTCAAGGGAAACGACAACAATTATTTTCGTCTATAGGCAGCAGTTCCGCAACTGAAGTATATACAGACGAGGCAAAAAGGTGTAGGCTTTTACCTTGGTTCCTACTGAACCGAGACAATATGTCATACTCTACTGTCTCTGTTGGGACTTGAACTGAGGGAGTAGAGTGTTTTTTATTTTATTTTTTTACGTTCGGTTTCGTCAGCTTTTCTGCCTCTCGCGAGACTGATCGGTTATGACCTGCGCTCACCATCTATGTTGCTTCGAATGTGGAAACCACCACAGCCATACTGAACCGCAAAAGAAAATACACGAGCAAGACCATGAGATCAAAAACCCAACTCGAAACGAAAACCCTAAATCCTTAAATCGCAAAATCAGAGAATAATTAAAATCCTAATTTCAAATCTCAAGATGCTCCTAAGTTGTCGAAGTCGCCTCCCTTCCTGCATAAACGAACCAACACCGAGAAGAGAAATGGACTTTTCCCTCCATGCGAAACATGAACTAGAGTTGGAGAAGAGGGAAAGGAGGTTTGTGTCTCCCTTACTACGAGGCGAAACAAAACGAGAAGAAAAGAAAAAGATGAAGATGGGTGCTTCCCCCTTCTTGTGAAGCCACGATAGAGGAGTGAAGAAGAGAACAAATCATTGTGCGAAAAGAACCCCAAGGGCGTCAGAGAGCAGCGGTGCAAAACCTAAACAAAGGCATTCTGTCTAAAAGTGCCTCTCTTCTCGAAATTTAAACCTTAATGCATGTTATTACCTCGGTCTGTAGGCAAACTGAAGCATAAAACGCATACGACATCGGCTAAGAGGGAACCGAGGCAATAGAGGTTACAAAAAAGGATTTTGGAACGTTCGATTTCAGAGGATGTGTGCATGTGGTAGGACATACTACCTCGGTCCATGGGCAAACCGAAGCATAAAGAGCCTACAACATTGGCTAAGAGGGAACCAAAGCAATAGAGTTTACCAAAATGGATTTTGAAACGTTCGAACTGCCTCGATCCTGAGCAACAACATAGGCAGTATACCCGTTCGACATCGGTTCTATATGAACCGAGGCAATAGAAATTACAAAAATGGATTTTGGAAAGTTCGGTTTCAGAGGATGTATGCTTGTGGCAGGACAGAATGATATAGAACATTTGGTTTAGAGGATGTTAGATTCTGGCAGGAGATACTGCCTCGGTTCTGAGCAACAAACGAGGCAGTATAACCGTTCGACATCAGTTCTAGTTGAACCAAAGCATATAATATCGTCATAATTACGAAAATGCCATCGCGTTATTATACGCTTCTATTTTTGTGACATTGAAGGTATACAGCGCGTTAATTTTTACTAGTGGTTATGTAAAGTGATGTCCTAAAGTTTATGATAGAAACATAGCTAAATAAAAATATAAAATTTGTTTTCATTCCTTAGGTCACTAAATGCATAATTGTGTTATTTTTAGATAACAACACACAAAAAAATTGTTCTACATTTTAAAAGCAACACAAGTAAACGCTCTATGACACCTTTTGAGCAAATAATAATTTGTGTAACTTCAACCTTTTGAAGTTAAGGAAGGAAAACCATTAGATACAAAAATAATTTTCATGTAACACAAAGATTGTATTTCAAAAATAACACATGTAATATGTCCTACAATACCTTTCCGGCATAAAAAAAAAATTGTACATTAACTTTTTTAAATTATAAAAACAAGACAAGTAAAATTAAGAATAAATTTACTGTTGACATGTTAAGCTACATAAATGAAAATATGTGTTGTATAAGAGAATAATGAAGAACAAATTATGAGTGAGTATCTCATTCATTTGATTATATGTTTTAAAAAACAACATCAAAATATTCAAACATATTGGTATATAGTTCATATATTCAAACAAAACAACATCAAAATATTTCAAGAGGGACATATGTGATTTGTTTAATGATTCAAACAAAAAGTAAGTTGTGTAACATTTATTTCCTAAAGTTTATGGCGAAAACATAGATAAATGAAAATAGTTAGTTTGTTCTTCATATATTAGATATCACTTAATGCATAATTCTTTTAGTTAAAAATAATATATATAACTTGTTTCATGATTTCTTTCATCTCAACAATAATTTCTGTAGAAACAATAATAAATTTAGTGTTGATATTAGATTACATAAATGACAAAAAAAAAAGTTATTTTGAGATAAGTGTAGAACAATTATACCAGATTTCAATAATGACGTTTATCATTCATGAGTTTCTGTACGAGTAATGGTGTTTAAGATTAAAGACATGGTTAAATAAATAATTTAATTAATAAATATTAACGTATAAGTATGCTGTCCAATAATTAAAAAAAAGGAGATTACTTTTTTCCATATAAATTATGAAGTATATAATATCTTAGAAAAAACTGTTTATATATAAATAAAAATAAGTTATGTGCAAATCCTTAATTATTTTAATAAGATAACTATAGACCATTTATAATTTATTGCAAAGCTCATGTTAAACAAATTGGTCTAAATTCTCTTATTGACCATTTTTGTACTTTATTAAAAATGGACTTTAGACAACGGTTGTGGTAAAAATTGAAATAAAAAATTGTCTGTTGTCTTGATTCTGGATTCAACTAAGGTCATAGACCTTTTAATTAATTAATTTCAAGAGTCTACGACATCAGTTGGACATAGAATTGAGACAATAGATCCCTTAAATTGATTAATTTTAAGGGTTTTTGGTATAGTTTCTTAAAGAATCAAGACAATAAACCTATTTGGTTTTTGGTTTCCTGCTTTGATTTTTTGAACTAGGACAAAATCATGACCTTTTTTGCTTTTCTTTGGTTATTTGTATATTTACACTAGATATTAAACTTAGGAGTCCTAATAAAAGTTTAATTGTAATTTAAACAGAAAAAAAGTAAAATATATTATATAAAAAATGCATGAAATATGAAAACAAAGTACATTTAGGTGTAACAACCATGTTTAACATGGATCCATAGATATAGAGTTATCCAATAGCACATTTGCAACAAGATTGGTACACATAAGTCACTATAAAAAAAATAGATATTTAGTGTCGAAAAATTGACTCTAATATGCACAAGAACAACGTTAACTAATTATTAATATAATATTTGTGTTATATGCACATGCGACTCTAAAATCATAATTTAATCATAATTGTTAATTTATTAGCATTGATTTTTGAAAATCGATTATAAGTTAACATATTCAACATTAATTTTTAAATTAATTTTTTAATTAAAGTAGTGTATCAGTTAAATCGATTTTAATGCATTCTAATTTTAAAATATATTTTTAATATTAGATTATTTTGTGTGAGGTTAACCGATGCGAATAATAATAACTTTAAAAAAATCTCGTATAATACCTTTATATATGTTCAACAAATATAAAAAAATAGAAAAAAAAATACAATAGATGAAGGAGATAAATATGGATGGGGAAATAAGTATAAATGAAGGATATGAGGAGAGGAATATAGATGAAGGAAGAAAACAAATATAGATGAAGGAGATGTGTGTGAATAAAACAATTGAGTGTGGATGAAAGAGATAAATATGAGTGAATATGAGTGTAGATAAGAAAGAAGAAATTTGTGTGTAAAAAATAGTGTCATCTTTAAATCTAGTAGTTTAGATTAAAAATAATATATAATTCATATTCATTCTCATGAACGCACACAAATTCATATAA